AAATAAAATACGTAAAATTTACAATGACTTTGCCAGGCGTGGTGGCTCACACCTGTAATCCCAGCACTTTGGGAGGCTGATGCGGGTGGATCACCAGGTCAGGAGATTAAGACCATCCTGGCCAACACTGTGAAACTTCATCTCTACTCAAAATACAAAAATTAGCTGGGCGTGGTGTTGTGCACCTGTAGTCCCAGCCATTCGGGAGGCTGAGACAGGAGAATCACTTGAACATAGGGAGGTGGAGATTTCAGTGAGCTGAGATCGCGCCACTGCAATCCAGCTTGGCAACAGAGCAAGAGTCCATCTCAAAAAAAAAAAAAAAAAAATTACAACAACTTAATGACTTTGCCAATCTAGCATATGACCTCAAATGGTAGTGGTTAAATTAGGAGCCAATCAGCCACTTTCAAAACACATTTTTCAAAATGAAGTTTTAAAGGCAGTGTCATTATTTATTTCTACCACTGCTCATAGGTTTAATTGTGGTCCTGCTGTAGAGTTTGTTAGAAAATTTCCTTGAGTTGCTTTAAATGGTCTTTTGAAAGCCAAATGCTGCAATCCTATAATCATTACAATTGGAAACAAAAGACACATTTCTAGGCTTTATTATAACTCAAAATCTTAGCTGATGGTAGGATTATTTATCCCTATTTATTTTTTTCTAATATATTTAAAGCACAGATCAATTGTGTTTAATCAGTTGTCTTTTATGCCGAATCATTTGACCATGTGAGGAAAGCAAATATTTGGACTTTTACCCCATCTTGACCAGAGGGATCAGTAAAAACCTAGGATTAAGAATTTCTTCATGTGCACACCTTTTTTTCTTGTGTGCAGTGCCCTTCATTCACACTTATGTGCATTCACACATTTGTGATTCCACTTTTTTGTATTAATTTAGAATCATTTATTAATTCCACAGTCAAGTTAATAAAATGCCATTGGGAATTTGTGGATCAAGATGGCCAGGGGCAGATCTATATTATTTCTAGTTAAAGAATTACCAGCTTGCTTTGCTTATTGTACACTGAAGTTTATATCCCAAACTCAGCTATATCAAATATTGGTGCAGTAAACTAGAAATGAAGTGGTAACAGGAGGCCTAAGGTAAAGACCATCTGAGAGCACTGTGAAACCGTGGAACACTGCAGGGTGGCTGCAGAGCAGGAAATACTGCTTTGGTCCCAGGAATGCCTTCTTAACATGGAGGCTGCATGAGGATTCTCATAAAGGGGACTTGTGTAAGATCTCTGAGAAGGGAGGCGACCTCTGCTCACAAGACACGAGAGGGTCTTTGCAAATGGGAGCTTGCAAGAAGGAAAAGCCTTGCAGGGCAGAGATTACTGGAATGCCACAGGCTCTGCCTGGGTTCTCAGAATATGGAGTCATCTTGATTGCTCTGTGTCCAAAATGCTCAGTGATGCATTGGGAGTGGTCAGCCCTGGTGGTGCCTTATGCATTATCAGACACCTGGTGGTGTCTGATGCATTAAAAGACATTTAATTCTTGTGTAGATAAGTTTTACATGTATTTTCTCAAAATTTATTACTTGATCCATTTATTCATTCTAAACCTATGTCAAATGCCATTCTTTAAACCTCATTTTTTATTAAAGTTGATTTCATATATTAATTCAATCAAATGCCATTGAAGTTTATAGCAAGAGGCATCAAAGAAGGCAGAATGTTTCTATCTGTTCGGGGATTAATGGGGTAGAGAGATGCGAAGGGCAGAGGGACAAGAGGCCTCACAGAGGTAGACCAGATATAATGATGCCTGCGTCCCTAGTTAGAAACTAACTTCCAGGATTCAGGATTCAAGATTCAGGAGTAAAGTGTCCCAATATTTACAAGATATCCCGGTCTCTCTTGAATTCAGTGCTCATTTGGCCAGGGCTAAGACCTTCACACACTTTGCTTTAAGGATACAAGCTTAGAATGTGGCTGCCTCTGGAATATTTCATGCTAACGAGAGCCCAACAGGTGTAGACAAAGAATCTAGAGAGTGCCAGCCACCCTTCCATGGGACTCTGTTCAAGGCACCTTCCTGTGCTCTGTTAGCTTATGTTGGCCATGTCCTCAGGAATTTAGTGAAGTGGCTGTGTTGTCTCTGAGTGGAAATGACTGAGATGCCACTGGGCAGTCAGAGATTTTGAATCCCTGTGTCCTTTCCCTCCATCTCAACCAGAGACCACTTGTCGAAGCCCAAGAAAAGAAGACATGAACATCAGGTGAATCCAGTCCCATGGATCACTATGGTCAGGATATGGAAGCCAAGTGGCACAACAGAAATAAAGTCTATGAGGCCTTGGTTACCCCAAAGCTCTTCCCCATTAGAAGCTGCCTCTCCCTGCAATCAGGGACCCCAGGAGCTGGACATGGCATTCATTGTCATGTCTGATGAGGAAATGGAAAGGTCCCAGAGTATATAGACCTTGATCAAACTGGAGCCAGAGTGGAGTCAGGCAAAACTCTGCATTGGGCAGGGTCATATGTTTGTTTTAATTTGCTAGAGTGGCCATAACAAAGTACCACACACTGAGTGACTTAAACAACAGAAATTCATTGTCTCACAGGTTCTGGAGGCTAAAAGTTTAAGATGATGGTGTTGGCAAGTGCTAATTTCTTCTGTGTCTTCTTTCCTTGGCTTGTAGATGTGTTCTCTCTATGTCTTCACATGGTCATTTCTCTGTATCTGTCTGTATGCCTAATCTTCTCCTTTTTTTTTTTTTTTTTTTTTTTTCCTGAGATGGAGTCTCGCTCAGTTGCCCAGGCTGGAGTACAGTGGTGTGATCTTGGCTCGCTGCAACCTCTGCCACTGAGGTTAAAGCCGTTCTCCTGCCTCAGCCTTCCAAGTAGCTGGGATTACAGGTGCCTGCCACCTCGCCCAGCTAACTTCTGTAGTTTTAGTAGAGATGGAGTTTCACCTCTTGGCCAGGCTGGTCTTGAACTCGTGACCTCATGATCTACCTGCCTAAGCCTCCCAAAGCTGCTGGGATTACAGGCATGAGCCACTGCACCTGGCCCAATCTTCTCTTTTTATAAAAACACTAGTCACATTGAATTAGGGCACATTCATATGACCTCATTTTATCTTATTTACCTCCTTAAAGACTTCTCCAAATATAGTCACTTTCTCAATTACTGGGGGTTAGGACATCAACATGTTAATTTGGGAAATACAATTTGGCCCATAACAGTCTGGATTATCCTTAAGATTGCATTGTCTAAAGAATAAAATAAAGTAAATCTCTTTGACTTGACTATGTCTCTTGATACTCTGAAACATTTTTTTCTTGCAATGAGAACCAAAAAAAGGAGAGCCAAAAGGTTGATGTCAGCCAGCAGGTGAGCCATCTGTAACTCTGGCTGCCCCACAGGCCCAGTGCTGTGTCATTCCTGAAAGTCTTGCTCCATTCTAGTGATTCTGGTTCCAGCTTTTCAACTGGAAAGAGGATTCTCTGCTAGAGGAAAAGCTTTTCCTGCTGTGAAGGCTTATTTTCTTTGTATTTGCAGGTCAAAGAAGTTGATGTAATAAAAAGAACATATTTGTCAAATTTTTGTGGTAATTATTTTTATCCTTATCAATACTCCATATTGTGATGAATATGTTGGCTTCATTTTGGTGGAAAGGACGTGATACTGAAATTTTTGAGCCAAGATTACTCTGGGCCTTTTTATGGGATTTAGTTTCTGTTACGATAGGGGAAGGGAGAGCTCTTGGTGTAGGGTTTAGTCTTTATAATGAACCATTCTGCTTGGGCAACAGGTTTAGCTCTGAAAGCTTGAAGGTTAAGCAGGAGTGTGATCCTCCTCCCCATTCAAAAGGTCAAGGTAGAGCAGGTTCTTTTTCACGGCGCGGTGAGTGAGAGAAGGGAAAGTGACAGAGAGCATTCTTTCACCATTTTATGGCATGCACACATCCAAGTCTCTGGTGTTTTAAATAATTGAAACTGAGACCTAGATCCACTTATCTGTAAAGCAGAACTGTGGAGGAGGGAGGCACTTTATTCTCCCACTGGAGGGATCCCTGAAGAGAGATTTGCAAGCCCCCATTTTACCAAAAGTGGCACAAAATTTCATCAAAATAAGGTGAAATTATGGCTGTAGATGGGGCTTTATTTATAGCTTCGACTCCACACCTACTTCCTAAGACATGATCCTTCCCCAGGATACTATAGAATCACAGGGCTTAGACTTGAGGGGAAGGTAAGCTGTGATGGTGGTCTTCCTTTTTGGCAAATAGATGTTTTTGATTGCATGTATTTTCCAAAGAGGGCTGCAAAAATATCTTCCATCATACTAGTTTGACCCACCACTCCCTTATCAAGAGGTAAGGTCTCTCCACCCTCTGAAACATAAACAGGTCTGATATATTAGCCAATAAATGTGGCAGAAGCATGGTTATCTCAGTTCTAGGCACTGCTATTAACCATTCTACCTGCATCTGGTTCCTTCCACTTCCACCCCTGAACCATGTAAAACTCCCAGGCCATCATCTGAGCCCAGCCAACACATAGAACCCTATGAGAGATCCTAAAAAATTCTTAGTTACTAAGAATTTCATGAATATCTTTTCTGTCCTTTAACTTTCAACTTGTGTGTTTCCTTAGGTCCAAAATGAGGATCTTGTAGCCACCATATGACAAGACTCTTTTTGTTCTATCCATTGTGATCATCTTTGAGTTCTGCTTGGAGAGTTCAATCCATTTACGTTTCAAATAATTACTGATAAGGAAGGACTTCCTTCTGTAATTGTGATGTTGGTTTTATGCATGTCTTATAACGCTTTCATCCCTCATCTCCTTTATTCCAACCTTTCTTTGTGTTTATTTTTTCTTTTGGGGGGGTGCGGGGTGGTAAAGAAACCTTTAATGAAGATTCAAGGTTTGTAATGAAGACACAGAGGGCCGGCGCTCAGCCCCAGCCTCCTAACATGTACATGGCTCCCTGAAGGTTCTCCAGTCGATGCTGCTGCTGCTGTTTTTGAACTTTATCTCATCTGTGCTCATCATAAGTATCATCATCAATAAGCAGCTCATGGTGGCACAAGAGACAGGAATTTGTCTTGCTTAGCCAGAGCAGAATGTAGCTGGAATGGAAGAGGTGATGGCAGGGCATCTCAATGGCAGTGTCCTCCTCCTCAAATTCCAAAAGACACACAGGGCACTTGAGCTCAGCCTGAGAGCCTCTGACAATTATCCTGGGGAGGTTTGCAACAGTCTTGGCAGCTGATGGAGGCAGGTGGTGGTCCCAATCTACTACCAACCCCAAGTCTTCAAAGCCCATCCTATTGAAAAGTGACCTCGCGGGTTCCAGCAGCATGTTGGTTCGAGTCTCCTGCTTGGGGTCCAATGGCTCGTGTTTATTGAAATAGGATGCCATGGCTGCCCAGCCATCTGACACAGCTCTCAGATCCTGTGTTTTTTTCTAGTGATATGTTTTAATTGCATTCTCATTTTCTTTTGTGTATATTTTATGCATATTTTGCTTGTGATTACTGTAGTATTACATGGAACAATATAGTTATAACAATCTTGAATTCAAACCAACTTCAATCACATATGAAAACTATGCTTCTTTCATCAACATCCCGTGAATCCAGCACTTGAAGTTTCTACTTCCTGGGGCAAACCTTCGTGGCCTTCACAGCCAGCAGTGGATCAAGTCCCTCCTCAAAAAAAAAAGAAAGAAAAGAAAACTCTGCTTCTTTACATCTATTTCCACCCCTAATTTTAAGTTATTGATGTCACATATTACACGTTAGTAGCCTGGCAGACTGGAAAGTCACTATGTTGCAGTCATCAGTCTAATATTTGTAGACCAGACTGGCAGACTGGTAACCTAAACTGTAGTTGCTACTGTCATCTTGAGGCAGAATGTTTTCTTGCCTTGGAAGCCTCATAGTTTGCCCAAAGGCCTTCAACTCATTCAAAAAGTCTCATTCACATTTTTTAGGGTAATTTCGTTTTCATAAAATCAACTGAGGCTAAGTACAGTGGCTCACACCTGTAATCCCAGAACTTTGAGAGACTGAGGCAAGTGGATCACCTGAGGTCAGAAGTTTGAGACCAGTCTGACCAACATGGTGAAACCGCATCTCTACTAAAAATACAAAATTAGCTGAGTGTGGTGATGACGCATGCCTATTATCCTAGCTACTTGGGAGGTTGAGGCAGGAGAATCAGTTGAGCCCAGGAAGTAGAGGTTGCAGTGAACCAAGATCATGTCATTGCACTCTAGCCTGGGTGACAGAGTGAGACTCCATCTCAGGAAAAAAAAAAAAAAAAAATCAATTGATATCAGATTTTAATCACAACTGCAAAACACCATCATAGCAACATATACATTTAGTGTTTGATTAAATAACTAGGTACTATGGTTTAGTCAAATTAACACATAAGACCAACCATCCCAGCCCATGCTTGTGAACTTGGCACCCATAAACATTTTTTTAAACTATACTTAGTCTCCAAATAAAAAGAATTATAAAGTCATACTTTTGCCAATGATAATACAACTATCTTACATCCAACTAAAAACACACTAACCCTTTCCCCAGAAAAAGATTCAAACTGAATGCATGATATGCACTCTTCTCTGATATACTGTAAACACCATTTTTAATAAAAGTTAAACCATCATTAATAAAAGGGAACTATTATTAACACATCTTATGTTTTATTGTAAGATAAGAAAACCATGAAAACAAAGGCATTTGCTTAATACATGTATGGATATGTATATACACAGACATAAATATCTTTATAAAAAATAAGGAAGTAATGGAACATTTACCATCTCAATTTCTGTAACTGGTCACATGGTTACAGCTGGTTATTTATATATTTACTTATTTATTTGAAACAGGGTCTTGTTCTTAGACCAGGCTGGAGTGCAGTAGCACTACCTTGGCTCACTGCAACCTCCACCTGCTGGGAACAAGTGATCCTCCTACCTCAATCTCTTTAGTAGCTGGGACTACAAGCACACCACCAAGACTGACAAATTTTTTGTATTTATTTCAGTAGAGATGGAGTTTCAGCATGTTGCCCAGGTTGGTCTCACATTCCTAGACTTAAGCAATACACCCACCTCAGCCTCCAAAGTGCTGGGATCACAGGCATGTTCCACCATGCTGGCTACAACTGGTATTTGTAAATAGCTTTTTCACTAACCATACCATATTTCCATTACTTTCAGCAAGTCCCTCAGCTGATTAGGTTTCTTTTCCTGCTTGTGTGACTCAGATATTCACTCCTGAAGGGTATGGGTCATTAGTAGTACTGCCTGACTTAGGCTGTTGTAGTTCTTATTGACTTTAATTATAGGACAGAGTATGACTAAGAGATGCTCTAACACCTCGTGTTCCAAACAGTCTTATTTGCTACCAGTGTCTAGTAGCAGACCAATTTCCCCCTGATGCAGGACCAATCACCCCAGACAGTGCAGTAACCCCTTCCTTTGTCTGTTGATTCAGAAGCATGAGGAGCTGAAGGAGCTGGGTGGCTGCCTTAGCTTCCAGCTCAGTGGAATCATTTCTGTGTCTCCTGAGGGAGCATTCCTCCCTTTGGAAAACCTCTAGACCCTCAGGACATAAGGTTGTGGGGACAGGAAGCAAAGATTTTGCAAGTGGAACTCCATAGGTAATAGTGAATCTTGTGACTCCCATTTCTATTTGGTAATTTCTGGACACGTGGATATTGGCTATGGGATGAACAGCACCATACGATGGATGCTGATTCAGAGCATATGCAATTCTGGAGAGAGTTGTATAAAAACCCACACATTCACAGTAACTGCATGCTCAAAAGGCCATACTGCCCTTCTGTAAAACCAGCTGCTTCAGGATGATGGAGAACACAGGAAGACCTGTGAATTTCATGGGCCCATTGTGGCACTTAATTTTCTGTGAAGTGAATTGCTTAATCCCAAGCAACACTGTGTAGGATACCACATAGTAGATACGGCATTCTAAAGTCCATGAATATTGCTTTGGCAGAAGCACTACTTGCAGGGAACATAAATTTGTATCCAGAGGAAACATCTGTTTCAGGAAGAACAAACCCCTGCTTCTTTCACGATGGTAATTGTTCAATGTAATCAAACTGCTCCAGTGGCTAGCTAATCACCTCCAGGAATGGCGTAATATTGGAGACTTAGCGTAGGTTCTGCTGATGGCAGATTTGGTACATATCCAGCAGTGGTTGTAGCCAGGTGGGGCTTTGGTGAGTAGAAATCTATGTTACTGAGCCCACACATGATCTCCACCCGTACCACCGTGGCCATTTTGTTAATGAGTCCACTAATCAAAGAGGATGACAGGTATACAAACAATGAGTCATCCTATCTACTTTATCAAAACCTCTCCTGCTGAGGTCACCATTTGGAATTAGTCATGTAAGAGATATCTGCACATTTAGAAAGGTCTTTCAACATACCTTATCCCCAGAACCTCTTGCCAACAATTTTCCAATCATGTTCTTTAGAATTCTCTGACCATCCATCAAGCCATTGGCTATAGCCTATGAACCCATATACAGTCACATCTGTGTTTATTTCTCTTTTCAAGCAAAATTAATAACCAGCTACACTACTCAAAGTTCTGTCTACTGGGAATGTCTCCCTTCAACACAGTTCTTCAGGGACGTCACAGAAGGGATGTCTGCATATCATACAGAACTATCTATCCACAGATCTTAGTTTTCCCTTCCTGAGTCAACTAATTTTAAGGAACTCTCCTATGAGGCTATAGATACAGGCTATGGGAGAAAGGTAATGTAGCAGAACTGGGAGCCATGAGCATGTGGGACATTTCCTGGTGTCATGTACTTGTGCCTTCAGTGCTTCCTTCAACCTGATCTCCTGTACTTCAACCTGCACTCCTTTAGCTGATGGAGTGCTGCTGTGCACACTCAACATTATGGCTTGTGGGTCAGACAACACCCAATTAATGATGGGGAGCTCAGGTCACATGGCCATTTGGTGGTCCATAGTGACTCATTCAGTCTCTACTAAGGCCCAGTTGCAAGCCAAAAGCTTTTCTCAAAAGGGGAGTTGCTATCTGCAGAGGTTGGCAGGGCTTTGCTCACAGCTCCCAGTCCTGCAACATTACCTTTTCTCTCCTAGCATGCATCTAAAATTATTCTCTGTGATTCACTTATAGGAGGCTGCCAAAGGCTCCAAGTAGGTCTCTGTCAATTCAGTCTGCCTCTGTCAATTCAGTCTGTTGGATCATTTTATTCAAGTGGCAGAGTAACTTGCACAGCATCCTGGACCTGTTGCAGAGTCTTTTACGTTCTGAGCCCCTCAAAACTGGCAGTTTTTCAGGTCAGATCCCTCAGTAAATGGGCTAGAGTAGCACACCCAAATGAGGAGCATGCTGCCTCTGAAATGACAGTGCAGTGGGTGTTGTGCCTGCTTTTGGTTGTAGGAGGAGCCAGATGCAACACATTATCTGTCATCTTAGAAGGACTATCTTAATGTGCCCCCATCACTGGACCCCTAGAAATTTCTACCGGGGGTTCGGGGGGCTCCTGATTTTTATCAGATACATTTCTCATGCTCTGACACACAAACATTTTTAATAAGTCTAGAGTAATTGCTTCTTCTTGTTTACTAGATCCAGTCAGCATAATGTCATCCATGGAATGGGTCAGAGCAGTGTCTTAAGGATGGGAAACATGATCAAGTTTCTTGCAGACTAAATTATAATATAGGGCTGCAGAATCGATATATCCCTGCAGTAGGGCAGTGTACATGTATTACTGGTCTTGGCAATTGAAAGTAAAATCTTTAAAATTCATCTGTTTTCCACACTTATCAAATAAACGAGTTGAATGGGCATCTGATGGGAATTGTTTTGCCTGCATATTTTAACCTTTTGGTGATGGCACTAATCCCTGTACTCCCTCCAGAAATGCAGTATTGCATTTGGCTTACTATTTTTCTAAATAGAATCAGTTCAACTGGATTCCACCTATTCATTTTTGCCTTTTCTCGTGGGGAGGAATGATAGGTACAAGTAAATACAGCACTTTCAACTGAAACATTCAGGTACTTGCATTGGGATTAATCAAGGAAACAACTCAACCCATGGAGCTTTAGATACTCCAGGTTTCTGGCTCCCTGGCACAAGTAACTGCAACTCCGGCAAAATGGAAGGTTAAACCCCCACACATACCCCCAGGAAAGAGGCTGAATCCACTGCAGGCCCCACTTCCATATGGCTTCACAGGGTGAGATTCTTTCGGCTGGGAATTCCAGCCACCTGCAGCAGCATTGCACCTACCTGGGACGGAGCTCTTCAGTGCGGGGTGGGCCTCTGACTTTCCTGTTTGGTTGACTATGCCATTCCAGCCTTCAAGCTTCAGAGTGTCCAAAGA